CCCCAAAACCCCAAAACCCCAAAACCCCTTGCTGGCTATTTATATTTTTCAGCAAAATAAAGTTATCACAATATTAATGAAATAAATTTAAAATTGATTTGATCTCAGTTTCTAATAACAAGGCTTGTCATTTAAATTTATTTATAACACTTCTAATTTACAGATCAAATGGTTAGGTACAAATCATTTTCATTTTTAGATAATCTATATTTTAATCTATCTTTGCATTTCATCAATATTTGCTATTTCCCACTCAAGTACAAATATATCAGAATAGGAATACCAAACAGCAATAAAAGAGGGAAAGCAATAATATTAGCTAGTAGACCTAAAAGGAATCCTAGCCATTGAATTAAAATGTCACATTTTTTTGTTTCAGAGTTATTATTTTTTGAATCATCAATATTACTCTGATACGAAGTCTTTTCCTTCTTATGGCAAACTTCCCCTAACATTACAGAAAGTGTTAAAGGAACAAATAGAAACATGAAAAATGGGTAAAGTAATATCAGTAATAGTATTTTTCCAACAATTAATATAGTTCTTTAGAAATTTTGAATGCAAGAACTTTCAAATTGATTTTTTTCCCCTTAACACTTAAAAGGATTCAAACACCAATCATGCTCAGTAGACCAAACTTACATGCATTAGTAGCAATAAGAATAATTACAATAGGCACATATTTTATTTGCTAGTGCATCATCCTAGATTTATGTTTTGAACTTGCAAAGTGGACAAAATCTGATTTTATTATTTTCCAAATATGATAAATATTACCTCTCTAAGTTTCTTTCCTTCAAAAGCTTCGATTTCTTGCTCTCAGCTATTTAAGTCGAAATATCCTCAATAGAATGATTAAGACTAATTACGCTAGAAGTCTCTATATAATAATTTTACTCTGAAAGTATTTATCTTATCGTTTATTCTCCCTAATATCCAACAGAATCATTTGTAGAAACGTTACATTTATGTTAACTTCTTCTACCCTTGCATAAATAGCAAGAACTTTCACTCATTCCTACAAATTCATGTCTATACATTCCAGAATGGTCCTTTACTAAGTAATCAATCAATTCTTGAATTTATACATTCTATTGCAATTTATAAAAAGCATATTCAGCCACATCCATATCATAGCCTCTTATTACAAGGGACTTTAAAAGCTTTACCTTTTAGCTCTATTATCATAGTGAGCTGTAATAGTCTTCATTTTTAATTTTAAAAGGGCAGTATTGATAGTCCTTAGTAAGAATTTTCAGGATTTCATTCTTGCCTTAAATAAGCTGATGAAAACTAAACTTTTATCGTTAGGATTAATACTCCTATTGATGCAATTAACCTTAATTTTGCATCTCTAAATGCTGATTACTGCTCATTTTAATTTCTTTTTTAGAAATTCCCCAATTTTAAATATATTTTTAATATCCCAAGAATTTTATGAAAATGCTAATACTAGGGGTTTTGGGGTTTTGGGGTTTTGGGG